ATTATTGGCATGGCAACACACTTGTTTTATCACCTAAAGAAACTAATACCTTCAAATTGAGTCATATATATCCATCTCAGGTGGTTATATTTTACAATCCAATTTTCCTTTTTTTTATATAAATAAATTCACAACCACTTTGTTTTTTGTTTGGATTCCACTTTTTAGAGTGTTGTTGGCGTGCAAGTTTCTATATTTTCATGTAACTAATTATAATTAATAATTAGAATGGCTTCCACGTATTTTGTTAATTAAGTAATATCCCATTAGGAGGTAGAAAATTAAGATGATGACTAAATATCCACTAAATATTCCATTTGCCATGTAATTTTACATGGCAAAAATTTAATATTGGTTCGTTTACTTATATAAAGTCTTTTGTTGGTATATTAATTTTCTATTCATCAATAATAATATGTTATGTTGCAATTTGTATCACTGTTGAGACATTATTGTAAAAGCGGTTCATTATTTTTTGGGATAAATGTCCTAAAAATGATACAAATTGCAACATAACGTACTGTTTTTGATGACTAATGTCCAAAAAAATTATACAAATTGCAACACACATGCTTACTATTATTGATGAAGAGAAAACTATAGTGTCCAAAAAAATGATTTTAGACAAATAAACTGACTGAAATCGATTTTTTTCCTTTATACATAACTAGTACGACGCCCGTGTATTACACAGGTACTTGCTAATTTTTTTTCTTAAAATCCAAAATTAATGAGAAAAGGTAGTTGAAAATTTAAATACCTTTTATAAAAATATATATATATTATCATATATTTAGTATGACATTTTTTATTTGTGCGACTTATCTGTGTTATAATATAATAATTTTTTTAACTTACAACATATAACTACATTAAACATAAATATATCAGTTGAAAAATAATTTTATTTTTCTAATGAATTTTAATAAATATTTTTATTTTTTATTATTATAAAGATAAATATAATTTATTTATTCCATATATACAATATGGATGTCAAATCGAAGATCATCAAAAGATGATTAATTTGATATATTATATATGTAAAATCGATAAGAAATACAAAAGTTATCAACTTTTAAAATACATTTACAATTCAATAGCTAATTGAAGGAAGCAAATCAAAAGTCAGAGATATATTAGTCACTTAGTGCCTCACTATGTAAAATTGTAAAGAAATAAAGGGTTATATTAGTACAAGTGATATTAAAATACTTAAGTTAGCTAAATAATATTTATGGAATGTTCGAACCTAAATTATTAATTATTAATAAATCAATATTATTTGTCCAAACCTAATTACGAAGCATGATTTTTCACCAAGTAGGATTCTAAAGCACCAGAAGCAGCCACGTAGGCTCAGCGCATTCAGGAATTATATATAGAGAGGATTATATACTCACAACAATCGAAACTCGACTAGATACTACCTAATTAACGATGAGTCACGTAGAATAATTGATATCCTAACCTTAAGGAACCATATAAGGGAAGATGCTACAATCCTGTTACGTAACCATTTGGTCGGGGTTTGTAACAGATAGATCAACTATCTTTAACAGTTACATGATGATCTAACGGTTACAAATCTAAACGGAATTGTTCCTTAACGGTTCTCCATATAAGTGGAACACGCACACCTGAAAATCATCAAGTGGGCTGTGTGTGTGCTTGCACAAGGTTTTGTTCCCCTTTTTCACTCCTTAAAAAAACTGTTAAGAAAACTTTCCATATGTGTATACATATGCGGAGAGTTGTGCACTATTTTAATAATTCGATAGTACTATCATTAAGTGCACCAAAAAAAAAAAAAAA